TAAATTATACTTGCCTATAGATAAGACAATATGTTTCAAGAAAAATGTTGTTGGGTTTTTTATGCTAACAGCTGATATTTTAGATTTTCTCTATGTAATAAAGTTTATATCGCCCGCAGTATATTAACCACAGACTAATGAATATAGTTTTCCCAAAATATTCTTGGCTTAGTAAATTTGATTAAAATTAATTGTTGTGTATTATGTTAAATGGCATTCTTTTTATTCAAATGTCATTATTTTTTTTCTAAAATTATCATTTTTTAAACCTTCATAATAACTGCAAACTTGAAAAAAAAAATTATTAATGCATTACCATTAAAATTAATTAGCCCCATCTCTGTTATGTATAAGTAAATAAATAAAAAGGTTATTGAATATATTTCCTATAAGGGAAATTTAAAAATAATGTGTCATATATCAAATATATTTCAGATCTAAAGAAAGGGATGCTCATACAGAAATCATCACAGCAAATTTGAATCAATCAATACTTGAACCAGATGAGGATTATGAAAACCAGCCAATTGAAGAGGACTTTGACGCGGAATTTGATAATTTAATTAAAAGTATAAATGACAGCGAAAATGAATTAGTAACTTTACCAATTGACTTAGATCTTGAGGAAATTTTGAAAAACATTCAAGTTACTATAGAAAAAAGTGAAATGGACATCAATACTAATAATATATTGAAAAAAATAGATCATGACAAATACAATTATTTCTGCCGTACTGAATATGGCAAAATATTGACTTTTATTGGAAATGTAAATATGGATCCTTCAAAGCCTGTGCCTAGTAAAGTACTATCTGATTTATATACTAAAGTACATAATCACCAGACAAGTGCAGAATTTAGAATGCAATGCTGTCAACTTTTTGAAAATGAACAGTTTACTCATGAGCATGCACACATTTGCTTTAATATTTCAAATAGCATCCGTAATTATTTGTTAAATGAAAAAAGTCAAAATATTCCTTTGGGAAATAGAACTTTATCTGAAAGATCTGTCAATAGTGCGTCTGAAGCTAGAGTTAGGTATGTTGGTGGGTACTGTGTATCTAAGATAAGTTATAAATATGCACAAAAGGTCAAGAGTAACATGTACAGAGTAGATGAAAAAAGTCAGTCTACATATGATGAAGCCATACAAGCAACTACTGTTATAGATTCATTAAAAGTTAGTGAATATTCTATATTAGCCACCACCGTAAATCCAGAATCACTTGCAGATGTTAGTAGGAAACAAGGACAAAATAGGTCACTTACCAATATTCCGGATAATTTATTCATTTTTTTTAAAAAAATGACTGCAAAATGTCTTGAATTGTTCGTTGACCAAAATCTGAGTAAATACGGAAGTGAAACATTTGAGAAAGTTAAAGACATTATAATGGAAACCAGTGAATTATATGAAATATTTCATGCTTCTGTGCAAGATAATATGTCATTAATGACACACCTTCAGGAAAATATTGCCACAGAAAAAAATGAAGAATTATTTGAAAGTACTGTTCAAACTGTTTATAAAAAAGTAGTGAAATTGTTTTTGTTGGTTATGTTTAACCAATTTAGGAAAGACTTATTAGAGGCCTTTAATATTAAAAAGAAAATGGCCCACCGGAAACAAGTGCAAGTCAGTAATAAATCAAAGAAAGAAAATAAATCATCAACTTCTCAATCACAGCCAACACAAGGTCAATCAACAACTTCTCATTTACCCGAACCAATGCCTTCTACATCAAAAGAAAATCCAAAAGGAAAAGGAAAAAGAAAAAGGAGTGCATTAAATCTTGATATAGAGTCTGACTCTGACAGTGAAGTGTCACCAGAACCATTACTACACATGGCACCTAATTCTCCTGTGATTGGCACAAGTGACCCTGACGAAGACAACGCAACTTGTAAAGTATGTTATTCAAGTTCTGGACAAACAGATTGGATTCAATGTGACAGTTGCCATGGCTGGTTCCATCGAAAATGCGCGGGGCTGCAGCACCATTTACGTTGGAAAAAATTCCAACGAAAAGGAGTTGACTTTCATTGTAAACAGTGTGAATAGTTTTTCAAACTGCCTGCTATGAAAACAAAGTGATTGAAATTTAATACATAATTGGTCATGTCAGGCTGAATTTTAAATTTAACCAAGAATTTCTAAGTAAAAAAAGGGGCATTATTATGCAAAAAAGCAAATCAGAGTTATGGGACTTGTGCCAATCATGTTAGATAATCACAGAGAACAAGTATGTGAATTTTCAATCCATTCCCTTCAGTAGTTATGGAGATACCAGCTTACACGCAAAAACTTTACCACTGGGATGCCGACGCCGACAAATGGGTGACTGCATTAGCCTGATTATTCTGAAAATAGTGGAGCTTAAAATTGGACAGTGTGCTATAATTATGATATTTCATTCATTCAGTTGATGTGGAGTTTGATGCAACACACAAAACTTTAAATTCAAAAAGGGATATGATTAAGTCATAATCTATGCCAGAGTTGTGAGTCTTGATTTGTGACCAACATGTGTGCAATTTTAAGTAAATGACTTTGACTTTGGTTGTGTGAAGGCACACCTGAAATTTACCTTTGGAATTTTAACCAACTGAATATTCAGGTAAGTTCAATTTAATTATATTTTTTAATATTCTAGCTGTAATTAACCAGGCTGATTTTGAATGATTGATTTGCCAGTATTTCTCCAGCAAAATATTCTAGTTTAAATACAGCCTGCTAATGTTCATTTCCCGGAAATGGGTACCAAATGCATAAGTGGTATAACTACCTTTGGTTTATTTAACCTTGACCCATATGGGTGAGGATGAACTACATTTTGAACAGTTCTTTTCAAAAGTGTTTCTATAATGTATAACATAACTGTGAATTATGAGAATATGGCTGTAGCTTTTTAAATTCATTTCCAAGAGATACATTATTTTTAAGATGAATTCAATTGTGTATCAATTGGCTGCCGTATTTCTACTATAAATCTGACTTGCACTTATATCCCACACAAACTTTTGAACAAAAGCAATCAGTATAGAATTTAGACCTGTCAAACAGTATAAAATGAATCATTAATTGCAAGAAATTATTTCCTAGACTGGCATTCCACTTAGGTCAAGAAACTTTAGTTGACTCCCTTTAAAGCTTCTTTCACACACAGAACAGGTGTAAATCATCAACATATTTGTTTACAGTTACTAAACACGCAAAGAATTTAGTTTCAATGAGATAAATGGGACCAAACATAGTAACATTCTTTATGTTTCATTTGACATATAAATACTGCTGTTATCACTGTGATATGACTAATCAGATCCTGTTGCTGGCTTGATAAATTTTAAACTAGATACATGTATATTTAACTTTTACATGATGTTAACATGATGTTAGTATACTTTCTGACCGCCTCCGTGGTCGAGGGGTTAGAGTCAATGACTTCTAATCCAGTCACAGTACAGATTTAAATTTCAGTCAATGTTTACAAAATTTAACAAGCACAGTAAATAAAATTAAGATATACCTGAAAAGTACTGTACATTCATTTTTTGGACAAGCAAGACATTGATTTTTAATCTATTTTAACTGTATAAGCCTGTCATAAAATTTCATCTTTGATGACATTTTACCTATAAAACACCCACAGGCCACGCCATAATTTAGCTTTTTGTTTTAATAAATTACTTAAAATGTGTTTGACTTTATGATTCTTTCATAATTTACTATATAAATATAATATACACCTACCAGGTTACAACAGACATGTCTGATTCGTAAAACTATGTTTAATTGTTAACTGGGACAAGAAAACCTTGTATCAATTGAAATTCAATCGTTTTGTTTTCGCAAAACTCAAAAATTCCGCCAAATTGGTTTTCAGCTGATGTATTTACCGTTCATAGACGTGCGGGAACCAGAGCGCGACCAATGAGATAACGGCTAACAAAAATACCGAAGCATGCGCAGAAATACCCAGAAATTTTGCAAATGGCTTCCCGGGAGAATGACAGGTGAAAATATCCGGAAAGAAGGTTAGTGTCACTTAGTTACTGCTGTTTCAGTTAAAAATGCATGAAATTGTTAAAGAGTTTAATAAGATTGATTGATAGAATGCGGTAACTACTGCATTTTGTACGTTTATCAGTGGTTTTACACGTGAGTTAAAAGTGAAAGTACCAGCGGTCAGATCACTGTCGAGTAACGTTTTCGGCCAGTATGACGTTAAATAGTTCTGAAACAGTAGAAAATCACCGGATGACAGTTTGAAATTCATAGAGAGTGGTCAATTCTGTAACGTTTGGTGTATACAAGTATGAAATTGATGAAAAATTGACTTAGCAATGAGCGGTTAACGATGATGACTGTATGTTTTGGAGAAATGAGTTGTATACCTTTACTAAATATATATATATCATTTTTATATTTTTTGGGGGGATTGAAGGAAATTGATTTTATAGTATATATCAAGAAGTAAAACACATTTTATTTGAAAAAATAATGCATTTGACATTTTTAAGAGGGTTGAATAGTGGGTATGGTGGGGGGGGAGTGTAGTGACCAATCAATGCGCCGAACACCTGTGTGCCAGAGAAGAAGTGTCTCGTAAAATTGTCCGACGTCCGCCACGGAATTGAATGTAGCATATTAAACTGGTTCAGACTGGATCCTTAAATTTCTTATATCATGTATATAGTTCCATCTTAATGAAAAAGTGCTGTAGAATGATTACTTTCTTTTGCATAATTTGTATGTCTTTATTTGCTCTTCTAATTTTTCATACTTAATTTTAGTATAAACTTTTGAAGCTATTTATCTGAAAATTTACCTTTTATTTATGTCGTTTAAAAGAAGATAAGGGCGCTGTTGTAGAACTATAACTCTCTTTTATATGCTTTTCAAGTTATCCCTTAAATGTTTCTCGGATATTGAATGAAAATGAATGCACTGATAAATCTCTACAAATCTCTACAAATCTTCATTACCAAAGTGCTATAAATTCTTTTCAGCATAATTTAAGACTTACCCCACCCCTCATAGCTATTTACCTATTTAATTATTTTGGGGTCATACATCTATTTTAGAATTTTAAGTAACAACATTTATTTGCTAATAAAGTGCGTATACAGTGCTTGAGGACAGTGACTCTACATATGAATAAGATATTTTGAGGTTCATAATGCTTAAAACCTTCATTTAAGTGAATTTGAATCATTCGAAGGGGGAAGCCAATATTCAACGAATCGCTTGGACCAAAAGTGAAAAACCTTTGTCACTAGTATAGAGCCATGTAAACATGGATCTCCGTGCAGTGTGAATTTTAAAACATCCTTCACTTTGAAACAAATGGTCAGGTTTTAATATGGGGCAACATGCAAAAATTCATCAAGTTCACGTTTGTACTTGACACGCATTTTTTTCTTAGAATATAGATAGAAAAAATGACAAGTGCTAATTGCATGTAGATAACTCTTGGTGCATGTTATATGTTGCTAATTTTAACGATTTTATGGGATTGACAGATAATAAGATTATCTTAGATAATGTCAGTTAGACGCGGCAATCGGACATGTTTTGAGGTTTCTGTTACATGTATGTTATCTTTGCTATTCAACAGCGGGACGCGGTTTGTAATCGTAATTATTTCACATTTAATTAAATAAAGTATGTTTTGCAATCTTTTGAATAATGCATGTAGTTTTAAATCTCGCAAACTATAAGAAATTGAGTGATAGGTTATTGAATATTAAACCTTTTTGTAAAAATGTGGTGAACGTGTGTCAAACGTTTTTCACCACTTTATCAAAATTATTTATTCTATAGAAGTTGTTAAGTCATGCACTTATTTTATTATTTGTACTTTCATTAAATTTTGGAAAGTGGAATATTGTATTATTAACAACATTTGGCATTCATTCTGGCAAATTGTATAAACGTGTTACACTCTTTGATAATCGTTTTAAGGTTCCATATCTTTTTGTATGATCAAATCGTACGTGAGGGTAAAACAAATATCTATCTTTAATTGTGATCTTTTAGACAGAACACGAAAAAAAACACGCCTGTTGAACCTATTAATTTGTTATGATAACCAGCATGCATAGAACCTATGACATCATATTAGGATTCAGTATCCTAGAATCGCAGATCGTATCTGCCAACTACTGGTAATCAAAGATCGAAAAGTTCAAGACATGAAATCTATTGTACTTAGTTACTTCCTTCCAGATTAAATGACTTCTTCGTGTATGATAACCAAAGCTAAATGAAATTTAATTCAAAATATATATGAATTGTATGTATCAGGCGACAGATTGATACACAGAGAGGCTTGGTTCATGAATATACATGATTCTGCGAATGAATTATATTTTATGTACAAATTGGTATTCATAGAAATGTTTGAAAAATCTATTACACTATTTTACTTACTCTGAAGAGTAACAGACATACAATGTAATTAAATGATCAGTATTTCTAGAGTTTATAATTAGCCTCTTTTCGCATATGGACACTAATTAAATTTTTGTCTAAATTGAACATCCACAATCGCAAAGTAATTAATCTTATCAGGAGTGATTTGCATAATAGTTGTAATACTATCAACCATAGAACCACTTTGTTTGAGCTCTGAAATATTTGGCTGTTTACAACCGTTTTGAAAAAGTTGGACAGGAATTTCGCGGTTGACGTTGCACAAGAAATATCATCAAGAAACAACTCAAAAGCATGCTGCATTTATACCATGCAACGTGTTATCATAAAGGTCGTTACGAATAATTCAGTCCTAAGTCCCTAGCTCCTAAGTTTACAAGAAAAATAAATGTTCAGAGATAGTTCGCCCTCTGCTTGAAAAACTATGAACAAGTGATATTTTAATTAATCTTCACATCGCGTACCTATTTACGTGGTTTATCCTTTTTTATCTATTTTGTCTGATTATGACTTATCTATTTTGACTGATTATGAAGAATTGTTAAATCTTTTTTGTCTCGTCACAAAGTACTTACTTAACATTTGTTATTCATTCTTGTCTAAGAATCTATATCCTGTTTAATTTTTACAATATTTAAATATTACAAAACTAAACAATATATTTAATTCTGAAGTAGTTTGAAGACAGATGTAATATTTAATTAATAAACAAGCATGCTAGAGAAATTGAAACCAAATGTTGTTAAATTGATATCATAATGCAAAGTTACACGATTTATTAACATTATGTTTTTTGTTTGCTTGTTTGTAAGAACAAAACGATCTATTTGTAAAGAGGACAAGGGTTTACTTTTTTGACTTGAAAGAAAGGATTCCATTTATTAAGCTGAATAGCCTCTGTTCTTAACAATTGTGACCTGTATCTTAAATTTAAAAGTTAAAATTCGCTTTAACCAGTTCTATAGAGGAAAGGGGTAGAAAATAGTTTTCATCATAATTAATCATTTATATTTAGTTTCTTTTAATATAGGGCGATTTTTAAAGGCCCAATATACCTCTTAGATGCTTTTATTTCTCAATAATTTGTAATTTTGGTGTACTTTTATAGTATCCAAAACGTAACCTATTTGCCAGTTACCTGAGCCACCTTGTCCATCGCTTGCCTAAGTAGAGTAACAGTGAATTAGTATTTTACATGGAAGTCATAAAACGACTTTGTTTACATTTTCTACTTTTATGGCGAATAATTTTACATCTATCGCTACTTTTTTCAGGTAGCAGGCATTTGACATTCTCAAAAACCATTATTTTTACATAATAAAATTCATGTTTGCCCTTACTTAAGATGTAAAAAATATTTATTTCCGAGGCATAATGTGCCTCTAAGGTTTCCATTACCTAGTTTATAAATAAGATTATCATTACAATTTGATGCACGGTATCATGCACTCTCTTCAAAGGTGTTTGTGACATCGTTAATTCAAAATGAATGACAGTGTTATACACTGTACTACTATGAATCAGATGTTCAAGACCATTTTAATCTATTCGTACAGAATAATTATATTTTCACTGACAGGCATTTAACAGTCATAAAGATCTTGGATGATATTACCGGTGGGTTATTTTTTAATTACCTTTCTCAATAAACCTAATCAATGAGCTATTCATCAACTTTTATTTCAAAAGAAAATATATATCAGTCAAACACATAAAATGGTACATGAACATGTCCTGATAGTCTTCGATAGAGGCATTATTTCGATCGTTGCCTTTCAATATGCTATCGTCGGATTCGTAATACAGGGATCGTTAGTTTGGTCACTCGTTTTTGTTTGTTTGTTTTTTTAACCACGTTTAAGGCTCGTTTATTTAAGAAAAAATACAAGAATAAAAACAATGATAACTTTAGCATTTTCATTGATATGTAGATAATTAAAAATAAATTTATTTTGTTATGTTTTTAGTTAGATAATATAAGACATTTTAAAAAGTTAAGAGGTTCATTCATTTACACAATTACACAAGAAAATGGGCAAAAGGTTGAAAAGTAAATAAAAAGTAAAAAGTAAATAAACTGCTTTAGTAGCATTTTTTCTGCATGTACTACGGTATTTAGAAATCAAACAATTCAATTAGATTTATCCAGCAATTTTCAAATTTTTCTAATGTATCATTTTGTAACGCAACAAATCTTTCAATTTTTAATCTGTTTAAAAATTTTCTTTTGAAGATAATTATATCTGGAGTTTTTTTTTTAATTTACTGGTATAAATGTAATATTTTGAAAAGATAAAAAATATACGATGTTTTCTTATCTTTAGCATGAAAGAAAGATGTAAAATTGTCATACGTAACATTTATTGCTATTTCATTAAGCCATTTGAATAAATTATTCCAGAATATTTGTACTGTTTGGCAGTCCCAAAATAGGTGTTCTATACTTTCAACATCCATACAGCAAAAATCACAGAGACTAGATTCGGTTAATTTACATTGAAGGAGAAATTTGTTTGTTGCAATATTCCTGTGTAAAAAATTATATTGAAAGTTTTGTAAAATATTATCTTTGCAATAAACAAAAACGTTTTCGTAAATATTTTGCCATTGAAATTCTTTTTGAGGAAATCGCTCTTCCCATTTTATTTGCGATTTTGTTTTTTTTTATTTTTACAGAGTCTTATTTGCTTTTGAATCTGTGTTAACTTGTTACTAATATTGGACGTGTTTGTTTTTTCTATGATATCAAAAGTTCTTATTTCTTAAGGCGTTGAAGTTTGATTAATGTGTTGTAGTTCACGTTTCCATTCTTTGGGTATTGATGAAATTAATTTATAAAAGTTAAATATTTCTGTATCAGAAATGTCAAAAGTAAATTTCAGCTGGTCAAAGGTTTTTAATTGTTTTGTTTCAGTGTTAAAAATATCCTTTATTTTATTGATATTTCGACATTTCCATTTTGGAAAAAGAATTAAAGATCCATTATTTTTTATGTGTGAATTCTGCCATATTATTTGGTCTAATAGATTTTGTGGATTTTTATTAAAATTTATTTTACTCCATGACAGTAGTATTTCTTTTAAGAA